CATTGTGCATTTGTGATGGTTCATTGTGTAGTACATGGATTGATGATGTTAGTGCTACACCCACATAGCGGTGGGGCCAAGATGTAATATAATGGCAGGAAGAAAGTGTGTCTTGCTTTTTGTTGGTTCCTCCTTGCGGTTTGCAGCTGCCATGAACTGCGGCCCAGCCATGCCCACCTGCCTTGGAGCCAACTGAGTGTGGACTGAAACCTCCAAAAACTGAAGAAATAAACCTTTCCTTTCTCAACTTGGGCTTCAGGTATTTTGTCTCAGAAACAAGTAAAAAATAACTAAGACAGTAGTTAATGCAGGGCTCATGTTAGCTTGGCCTTGTCTGTCCTTCAAAAAAGCCTGGCCGCTGAAGATACGGTGTAATGTAAAAGCTTGGCTGTGGGGGAAGCTAGGATCGCTAACATCCTCTGACAATTGCTGGCTATACTGGTAAATGACTACTGTTATGAACTGATGGACTATGATGAGTTTAAGTTGCAGTTCTCCTCAATGCTTCCCCACCTTACGCTGGCTACCCATCCTGGGAGTCAACAAAACAAATAAAGAGAGAGATGTAGGAAAGGGTTGAAGATGAAAACATGTGCAGGCTGTGGTGTGGCCTGGGCATGATTGAATTGAGAATGAGGAGACACCTTAAGGAACAAGATAGGCCACAGCTGAGGCCACCTGAAGAATTCCTGGATATTTTTCTTAATTAGAATCATCTGTTGCTCTGTGGGTTCCTGGAACCTCTCCCAGGGGCCTGCTCAGCTTTTTACCATTGTCCACTCACTTCCTTGCTTGTTCTGAATAAATATGGGCTTCCTAGTGACAGGTGGCTGGCTGGTTAGCAAAGTTATGAGTTCTAAAGAAGATTTCACTCTTCCTGTTGCCCTCAAGACAATGCCACTTTTCTCATTATGTTGGTCCTCTGCTGTGCACTTTTTTTGGGGCTAGATATTTAGTCATAGGCCCCAACAGAAAATTAACTTTCAGATAGGATAACTGTAAGTTTCCTGAAAATTTTGTTGCATGTAAATTTTCTTTACCTGTAGATGGAAGTGTTATCATCAACAAATATATTGCTAACTTATCAACATATGCTACCTTATTAACATATTGAGGGGTATTATAGTGATTTCTCAGAAACCATGATTATACACCACTTTACATCATTTTGAGTATTCTGCATAACTTTTTAAAGTCAGTACTTATAAGTGAAATTGGTAGATAATAGAGGAGGCCTCCATCAACTTGCTAAGTACTATGTAACATGAGTCTCGGTGGTTCTAGCAGTTAATTTGTTTTAACCATGAATTCCTCAACAGATGCCAGTTATGCCTGCTTGGCAGAGAATGGATTGTACAGGAAATTATGTGGTTTTGATCTCCAAAGAATTACTGGAGTCAAACTGAAACAAGTAAATGCTAAAAAACTGTCAGGATTTTCATAGATTAAAAACTCATTTACATAATCAGTTGAAGAATGAGTTGATGCATTTGGAAGATTATTCATAACATACAGCTAGCTGAATTATATTAGATATTTATTTCTTTTATACAGGTACAAAATACCTGACTTACAGAATTTAATATAAATATATTCTTTATCTCATTGTTTCCATTAGGGAAGTTTGGTTTTGACTGTTTCCAAAGCATAAATATCTTGGAGAAAAGTGAAAAAGGAAAAGGTAACTTTTTTATGAGGTCAAGGAGCCAGAGAACAGTTTCAGAACCTGAGAGGAAGGATCCAGGGACCAGATTTAGTTCATGGGTTCCAACACACATGACTGCAGTGTATACATATAGAAGCGATCATAGTGATATCCTATACATTTCTGAAGCCAAAAAGGTGTTAAAAATGGATCACCAGGCTTTAGGGAATATATGACTTCTAGGAATATTAAAATCCTGAAGAGCTGAGTGCCAGTTAGTGACAAGGGAACTATACGGCAAGGGAAACTTAGAGTGTGACTTCTTTGGGTATCCCTGCCTCCTCAGAAGGAAATGTTTAACTGGATTAGGAATTTGGTTGCATTTCAGCAATAATTGTCACCACTATGCTTGGCAATATGATCACTTTCAGAATTCAGCATTTTTATGAATCTGAATGAGTAGCATCTTGTCTTGGAGAATTGATGCTTGCTTTTATTTCATCTTTACTCTGTTGCAGACCATTACTATAATTTAAATGTAATGTCTTCACTTTACACATTAACTCTGCTCCTTTTGTGTTCACATACTGGGTTTCTAGGTGGTAAATTAATAGAAATGAGTGAAAATCATGAAAATGAAGTCTGATCCCTCTAACACAGACGTGAGACTCTCTGTTCTGTTGTGTTCCGCACTGGCCTATTCTCAGAATATTTTCTGACATCAGTGGATATTTATTTCTGGAGGATTGAACCTGAATCCTGAAAACATTTGCAGCCCACTATGGAAAGAGTCCACTGATCCTTGAAAGAAAGCATGGGTAGCCATAAAATGGCGACGATAAATAAGAAATTTAGAGAAGACCTAACACCACCACTTCTCAAAATTTAATGAAATCGAATGGGAAATGGTACTTCTCAATTCATTCCTGGAAGCAAGATTTCCCTGATACCAAAACCAGAGAACAATCCAAATAAGAAAGAGAATTACAGACCATTCTGCCTAGTGAACATTGAAGCAAAAATCATCAATAAGATACTGGCAAACAGACTGCAGAATACCATCAAGAAGATTTTACACCATGATTAAGTGGAATTATTCCCTGTGATGCAGGGGTGGTTCAACATACATAAATCCATACGTATAATACACCGTATTGACAAATTCAAAAGCAAAAATCATTTGATCATTTCAATAGATGCAGAAAAAGATTTTGCCAAAGTGCATCACCTATTCATAATAAAAAACCCTATAAAAGTTGGGAGAGATGATCTTTATCTCAATCTGATAAAAGCCTTTTATTACAAACCAACAGTCAACCTCATACTAAGTGGACAAAAACTGAAAGCTTTCTCTCTAAGATCAGGAACAAAACAAGGATGTCTACTGTATGCACTCTTATTCAACATAGTCCTAGAATCTAGTTGGAGCAATTAGACAAGAGAAAGAAATAAAAGAAATAAAGATAGGAAAGGAAAATCTTAAACTATCATTATTTGAAGAAGACATGATACTCTACTTAGAAGATCCTAAAAATTCCACCAAAAGACTTCTAGTTTAAGAAGAAAATTCAGTAATATAGCTGGTTACAAAGGCAACACTCAACAATCAATAGACTTCATAAACAAGAATAAAAAACTCATGGAAAGAGAAATCAAGGAAACAATAACTTTTACAATAGCATCCAACAAAATGAAATACTTAGGAATCAATCTAACAAAGGATGTAAATGACCTCTACACTGTAAACTACAGTACTCTCAACAAGGAGATTGAAGAAGACATTCTAAAATGAAGAGCTATCTCATAGTCTTGGGTAGGGAAATTCAATACAGTGAAATGACCATCTTCCAAAGCTATTGTACAGATTCAGTGCAATCCCAATCAAAAACGCATAGCATATCTCAAATTACTACATAAAATAAATCCGAAAATTCATCTGGAACCAGAAGAGACCTAAAGTAGCAAAGGTGATCCTGGGCAACAAAGGAAAGATAGGGTTCATCAAATCCCTGACTTGAAATTATACTATAAATGTATTGTGATTTAAAAAAAAAAGGTGTGGTACTGACAAAAAACAAAACAAACAAAACCAGACCCAAAGATCAAAGGAACAAATTAGAAGATGGAGAAACAACCCCAGACCACTAAACCATCTTATCTTTGACAAAGGTGCAAAAAGTCAATGGAAGAAAAGCATCCTGTTTAATAAATGGTGCTGGAAAACCAGGCTCTATAAATTCTGAATATTATCTTTCAACGTGTATTAAGCTCAGATCAGAATAGATCAAAGATCTTATATTAAAACAGAAACATTAAATCTGCTGCAAGATAGAGTAAGTAAAACTCTTAAAGACATTGACTTAAGCAAAGACTTCATGAAGAAAACTTGGATTGAACAGCAAAAATCAAAGAATTAAGAGAGAATTTTACCCTAATGAAAAGCTTTTTAACAGCAAGAGAAATCACTAACAGACTGAAAAGACAATGCACAACGTGGGAGAAAATGTTTGCCAACTGTTCCTCAGACAAAGTATTACTATTGAGAGCACAGAAAACTAAAAATTTCAGTCTTCTCAGATTTAAAGACCCAATCCAAAAATGTGCATCTGAGGTGAAATACAGTTCTCAGATGAAGAAATAGAAACAGCAAATAAATATGTGATATAATGCTCTGTATCACTCATCATTTAACAATTGCAAATTAAATAACACTGATATGTCACCTTGCCCCAGAAAAAATATCTACTGTCAAGAAATCAAGCAATAACGAATGCTGGAGGGGTTGTTGGGGGAAAAGGAACCTTTCTCCATTGTTGGTGGTAAAGCAATCACTGTGGAAATCAGTGTGGAGATTCCACACAAACTAGGTCTACAGGTCCCACTCAACTCAGGTATTCTTCTTCTGGGTATCTACCCAAAAGAATAAAAATCATCATACCACAGTGATATATGTGCACCCACGTTTATAGCAGCACAGTTTGTGGTAGCCAGATCTTGGATGGAATGCATGACCTCTAGCTTGCCAGGCAGGCGCTTAAGTAAATCCCTGGACCACATTTTTTACTTTTTAACTTTCAAATAAAGTGGATTTGGGAGAAAAAACAAGGACTGAGGTAAAGACTTTCAGTGCAAATACTCATCAAATGAGCTGAGATCAACATTCCAGAAAACAGCCAGCTCCAGAAGCCTCCACCATGTTTCATTGGGGACCCACAGTTACAGGGTGGATTTTTTTTCTGTCATTATTCTTGGTGGGGAAGGCAGGCAGGAGAGCAGGAGCCAATCAGTGATGAAGAGGCCGGCTGTAAAAACTGTCCAATCAAGCGGGCCAAGGTAGGCGGTCTCTTCCGGTATCATGGCGTCCATTGCAAGGCCAGGGCAAAAAAGGGAGCACTAGATGCTTGCTAGACCACTATTTTTTGCTTCTGTTCTCCGTGGACTGCTTAGAAAGAACCTGGGAGATCTCCAAACTACACAATGGTGATGTTATGGGATGGGAGCAGTGAAATGGGATGGAATCCGTTTGAGACTAGTTAGAAGTGGTGAGAAGGGGCTGGGGGTTTAGCTCAGCGGCATAAGTGCCTGCCTTAAAAGCAGGCAGTCATGAGTTTGATCTCCCCTACCAAAAAAAAGGAAAAAGAACAACAACAACAACAAAAAGAAGTGGTGAGAAGCAGCTGTGCTGTCTAGAGCCTGTGTGCTTAGCCTCAGATCCTGAGGTCCTCTAGTGCTAGCAGTGAGTCATCCTCTGTCCCTTTTACCTCTCGCTGGTGCCAGGACAGTTCTGGGTCCCTAGAACACTGTTGCCACTGTGATACCACCAGGCCACAATGCCATTTTTGAAATCGCCTGCTGCCCTTGTTCCTCCAACAGTCTGGGCCCAGGAAAGGGCATGAGGAGACCCTGATTCCAATGTGGTTTCAAGCTGGGTGCAGGTGTAATAAGCTAGGTCTCTGCCCTCATTTCTGTCAGCAACAAATCTGGAAGCCAGAAGTTTATAAATGTCTGTGATGCAGGACCTCATAGCCACAACTGCTCTCCTTAAACTTATGCAGTTATGTATTTTGTGATCGCCTAAATTTATACTATGTTCTCATATTTCCATGCACATGAAAGGTGGAGGTAAAGGTTCTGAGAATTCAAAGATGTGTAGTGATGTGCCTCAGTGGAGGAAGGCTTCCCAAACACCGGATAAACTGCTGTGTATTATACAGAACAATGCAAAGAATTTCTGAACATACTTTATGTGACACATGTGCTCATAGATGATGTTTGGGAGAACATCCATAGAGGTTTAAATTTTGAGAAAAAGGAAGCAGATATAAATGTGTCATCAAGGGCAGGGTAAAGTGTGTTTGCTAAGGACAAATTCCAGAAAGGGCTGCCTGTTAAATTCTCTTTGAAAAATGCCTAAATTTAGTCATTTGCATGAACTTATACACATTATATTCTTCTGAATGGAAAGGAATATGGGTGTCATCTCTGAATTAAGAGGTGATTTAATAGCTTGGATGATCATATACATTGTTTAAATATGGAAATGCTCTGAATGGACTTTGCTAAGTGGTATAAAGGAGATGTCATAAATTGAAATTGTGTAGGGATATCAATAGCTTAGTCGTGAATGGTTATCTGCTTAGGGTGGATCAGACGAGCATGGAAAGGATGTGGAAGTGACTGGCAGGATGCAGTTTGTCAATAGCAGGACATACAACAGAGAGGGTCTTCCCTGAAAGTCAGGTAGTTCTTAGGGTAAGCATGAAGTTAAAGTTGGCTTCTGATTTCTTCCTTGAGGTGAATAACACCAGTTCTGGTAAGAATCAGTATTCCACATCCTTGTCAACCCATGAATTCTGTGTTCTTCACTTGAAATCTAATTTTGATTATCTCTAATTATGACCCAGTGTCATGAAGGTGAAATTTGAATTTTTTTTGTAACAGGGATCGAATTCATGATCTCAAGCTTGCTAGGTAGGTGTTCATGCTGCTGAGCTAAATACCCAGCTCTGAAAGTATTTTCTGTATACTATGTATGATATCAACACTGTTCCTCAGAAAATGTTGAATATTGTGGAATTTTTCTATACTGTATGGATATAATTTTTAAAGCAAACCAAAGGTGTCGTATGCAGTCACTTTTCAAGTTTCACATTGTCTGTGGGGTGTCTCAGTCAGGGTTTCTCTATTTCAGACAGCTCTGTAACTTAGGCTAGCCCCAAATTCAAGGAAGTTCTCCTGCATCAGCCTCCCAAGATATATTTCTTGTATCTGAATGGAGAGTGATCACTTGGTGACACTGAGCTCTAATTTGAAACTTGTACCTGGTTTCATTGTTTATACATTTTTTACATACAGCAGTTTTCCATGAACATTTGAGTTATTAATTATGTATCATATTTGATGTTATTTATGTTTTGTTCTATGAAACCAAATTTAAATATCAAAATGCTGCTTAAGTATATTAAGAACAAAGGACTCAGTGGCCTAAATGAGATTTGAAGAGATATCATTGTTAGTATATCAAAGTGATTCATGAGATATTTGTCTGCCTCTGTGCTTTATGGATGCTGGTCCTGCAGGCTCTCACTATGAGCTCTGCTTTAGAGACAGTGCACAGGGACTCTTGCAGTGACTCAGCATAAGAATGAGTGCTCCTATTTGGCTGTTACATTAGCTGTGAGTTGCAATATAGCATCAAATTTGGTGTCTCAAATAATGTGTATATACCAAAAATTAATCCCCAAGATGTGGAATTAAGATTGAAGAAATCAGTCTCCATTCAGCTGTTTTGTTTGATTTTATTTGTTTAGTTTAGTTTTGTTTTATTGAGACAAGTTTTCTCTATGTATATCAGCTAGATTTGAACCCTATATGGAGAACAGAATTGCCCTAACTTCAAAGCAGCACTCCTGCCTCAGCCTCTTGAGTGTTCAGATTATAGATATGTGTGTTTTTACCCTAGAAAATATTGAGACTTGTAACTTAGCTGTGTTGTAGCTTGGCATAATAGATGCCATCTTGAGCTTTGAATTTAACTAGTGCCCTGTATTTCACCAAGAAAAATGGAAAATTACTCAGTGTTGAAGTCCCAGGAGAAAAGCAAAATGAGCTGTACCCAAAGAAAAAAATTAACCTGCTCAACAAAAGAAGCAGAATACAGTTGTCATCCAACCATTATTATAAGATTCTATCTAAATGATTTCCAACACGATCTTTTTGTGATTCTATCTTTTAAAACATCTGTAACTTTCCAGTTCAGAGCCTCTTGTTTAGATCCTGATATGGGGGTGGGGGTTCTGTATACAGGTTGTCTAGAGACCAGCTACGAAATTCCACATTTCTCAATTGGGTTCCTATATTGGCTTCCTATATTTTTGTTCACAAACTCACCTCAAGCTGCAGAAACCTTTACTGACACAAGCACACCTCAGGATTAAATGACAGTGCCACTGAAATGAAAGAATAATTGTGAAAAAGAAAGGAGAAAAAAGACAAACACCATGTGCTATAATGCCCACCTATTTTCCAAACAACGAAGAAGCTGAAACAGGAGAATGGGCCTGTATTCAATGACAGCCTAACCTGCATAGTGAGTGCAAGGCTGTCCAGAACTCCAAAGTGAGACTATGTATTTAAATCAAAAACTAAAATGAAAAAAAAAACAAAGTAGACAGAAAGACTATTGAAAACAAACAAAAATAGAGCTGAGTGAAATTTGACTTATGTAAAATGGGAATTATTGAATGATGCTGGCAGAGGAAAGAAGGCCAGGTAGTGGCATGCAGTGGCATTCAGGAGGCAGTGACAAAAACAGGCTTAAGAATGGCACCTATTTTGCTACAGCACAGCAGTGACCTCCTTCCTCCAATACTTTTACATTTTACTAGAATGAGGATTTCTAAAAGCTCATGGAAATGTTAAACTCAGGGCAAACAAACAGCTTGAAATTCAGGCTTTGGAACAATGCCTTTAGCAGACATTTCATATTTAAATTGAGATAATAGAAATATAATCCTGCCCTGCTTGATATCAAATGCACCCTTTAATGGCTGACAACATTGAGAAATGAAGTCACAAACCAAAAAAGTTCAAAAATTGTCTTAGAAAAAAAGAGAGAATAGCTCTGAATTTTCAGCAGTTGTCTTCAGTGTTTTGGCCACAGTCATATTGTCAGGGATCATTTAAACAGGATAGTCACAATGTGGGCAAACTGTGGGTCTCAAACTACAATCAATCTATAAGCTTATAGGTGCTTAACTAATATTATTCATCAGGGGAACAAGTTAGCCAGAAAAGGTATGTGGAAAGAGCCAAGGCATTTTGTGGGAACAATAGTCCAGTTGTTCTGGTCATTGAGTATGGTAATTGATGCCTATCTGCACTTCCTGGAGGAGGTGGTGGTAACTGTAGTACATTTCAAGCTGTTGTTTTTCTATTCAGGAGCATGTAGACATGGTCACAGCATCTTCACCTTCAAGTCTGGCTTTCTTCAGCTGTGCCTGTAGCAGTGATTGTTGTATTTATTTTTTTTGCATTGACTCTTTGAGGTTCCTGTTCCTCTCGGATTGTATATCAACTTCTGTCTACATTGAAAAGCTTTGCTAAAATCACAGTACTATTTGAATGAATAAAGTGAATTATTCATTAATACACTCCAGGGATTTAGCTCAGCAGACAGAAACGCCTGCCTTGATAGTGGTAGATTGTAACTTTGATCCCTAGCACCTAAAAATAACAGTAATTCAAACTGCAAGGAAAGAAAATAATTGCATTTGTTAAAATGTAGGTTTACAAAATTTATACTAAATATGTCAGTGGCAAATTAAACATTGTTGATAGTCATATTTAGTATCTAAAGTTGTTTGGGCGGGGGATTGAGCTCAGTGATACAAGAAGCTGCCTGGAGAGCACAAGGTCATGAGTTCAATCCCTCATACAGAAAAAAAAAATCACAGTTGTCATTGATGCAGTGCTATGAGCACATTTATTGAAACTGATACTTGGTATTTAATAGGCTCAATGTTTCTTTTGTGATCTATGAAATACCTGCAGATAACATGGCAACTACAGTGAATGATATTCTGTCCCCTATAGGATTGCTATTTTCTGAGTTGTTTTTATTTTTTGTTTTCCCAAAAACTTGAAAATTGAAAATGTTGGCTGATGCTAGCTAGAAACACTGTGATAATCATTTTTTCAATTTAATGATATATTTCCCTATATCCATTAAGAACATTTTATTTGCTACAATTGCTCCAAGTCAAATTGATAAACAATTCTTAAAGTTACAGGCAGCTGAGTTAGTTAGAAATACAGGCAGCCATACTGTGATAAAGTGGAATGAAATTCCTGACCTTCTATGTCTGGTATGAGCTTGTGTTCTCTAAAACACAAGAATGAATTTTAGGAACAACAGAGTTGAAGAGCAGAATATATTTATTGAGAGAAAGAAAGTGATAATATTTTGCTCTAAATAGGAT